TCTATATATGTATACGCTGCCCTCTAGTGGTGTCCTTTATACCTTGAGATACCAGTTGGAGTACTTGGAAGGGTTGCATTATTGTCGCTCATTCTGTTGCATCGTACGATGCTTCCAAGAAGTATTTCCACCGTTTGGAGAACTTAGCAGTGAGCGCATCAACATGCATTTCAGTTTCAAGTTTCTCCCTCAGGAACAGGACCCTCAATTTCGTGACGGCGCCGGAGATTGGACGGGGTGGAGGATTTATTCCATGCTCTCATTATGCATCTTCGAGCCGCCAATAGGCAAAGATGCATCCAATCCCTGCCCCCTTTGGGTTGAGCAGCGAGAGGGGTCTACTGCGGAATACTCGCGGCGGTGTCCACCGTAAGACTGTAGCTATGTATGTGGTAACACCCGTCCAGAACTGTCCCATTGACGGGCACGTCCATAGGCAATGAGCCAACGTGGGGCAGGAGAGACCGCATTTAGGGCACACTGATATGAGTCGTTGCTCCCTTGCTTCCGCCGGAAGAGAGTATGCCACATAGGCCCGATGCATTATTTTAAACTGGGGGAGGGGATGGAGGACCAGAGCTATGAGACAAGGGGGAGGGGATGGAGGACCAGAGCTATGAGACAAGGGGGAGGGGATAGTGACGGCAACATTGGCAACAAACTGTTTGAGATGAACTCCATTACAAAGACTAGAGGCCGCCACCTAAAGTTGGTGGAGAAAATATTCCAGCACAAGGGGCGAAGAGGGTTCTTCACAGTAAGAGCAGTTAGGGTCTGGAACTCTCTGCCATCAGCCGTCATCTCAGCCAAGAGTGTAGATTTGTTCAAGAAACGTTTGGACAATTTCTTGAGGGACCGTAATATCCGGGGGTACCAGTATCCCTAAGAATGAGATGATGCGTGGACCGATATGGGTTGGACTTGATGGACGTATGTCTTTATTCAACCCCAAATACTATGTATCTATGTAACTACTGTGAGCTGGGGAATAGGTGGCGGGTGCAATTGCTCCCTGGGGTGAGCAATCTTGCAAGGTTTAGAGACCAGACCAGTGACTTGTCTTCAAACAGTGTTACATTTATTGGTGCAACACACGGGCTATAGACAGTGCTCAAAGAAAGTAAACACTTCAAAAACAAAATCCTAGCCGTGTCCCGGCACTGACTAAACATACGATAGTCCTGACTACCAACCTGTACAAACCTATTGTTTGCCAGGCTTCAGCAAAACACCATCACCAACCTTGTGCTCCAGCAGATCGAGACTGTCTGCTCCCCAGGCTCCAGCAGATAGAGACTGTCTGCTAGCAGATCGAGACTGTCTGCTCCCGAGGCTCCAGCAGATAGAGACTGTCTGCTCCCCAGGCTCCAGCAGATAGAGACTGTCTGCTCCCCAGGCTCCAGCAGATCTGTCTGTTTGCCTCACCTGCACTAAATTGCCACTGAGGCAAAGCGTAAAACCCGGGGCTTACTATAGGTTCCGGAAGGTGTAAGAGAGGAATCTGGGTGACAGATCAACCCCAGGCAGGACCTCTCCTTGCTCTCTACATGATGACCTGCTACACTACCCTTTCCACATTGACCGCCTGGTATGGGAGTCTCCTATGCAGTAGAATCACTACTCCCGCCCGTCGGCCCATCTGAGGGAGAGTCAAAGGCTTCCCCCACCCAGAGTTTCTGAAGGCGTCCTAAATCCTCCGCCCTCAAATGGGGTTTCCTGCAATAACGCTACATCCGCGTCCAAGCGTTTCGGATGTCTAAGTATCATATTACGTTTTTGGTGGGGAACGCAGTCCCTTGACATTCCATGAGACGATCTTCATTAAAAGTCCCCTTCGGTGAGATGACATGGAGGACAAGCGGGGTGGGTACCTGTATGTGGGTGCAGTGTAAAGGAGGGTGCCCCGTGAGGATCTACGTACCCAGTCAGATTTGGCCGGCATCATGGGAGGTCCGTGCGGAGGAAGAGGGTAGACACAGCCGCAGTGTGCGCCCGGACACCGCCACTCCCGGTGCATAGTAGTACTTGTGCTCTAGGAGGCAACCAGCAAAATGGGAAAAAGTTAACAGCTGAATCACTAACGACCATAAACATGTGAACTTTAGTCAATAAAAAACATCCTTGTCATGACTCCACTTTTTTCCAATGTGGGCAGAGCGAGTGTCACGTCTCAGCCAGCCGCTGCCATCATTTGCCCTCTCACTATACCCCCCCCCCACCACACATCACCATCCATCCCCTCCAACACCTCACCGCAAACAC